CAGGGCTGCCCCTCCCGCACGGAAGGAGCGCGCTCTGTGATGCAGAGGAGGGCACGCCCACTGCAACGTTGACGCGGCCAGCCACGACCTTCGGTTATTCTCCTCTGCGCCTGCGCGGCACCTATTTTCCCCACCCCTTTTCTGACGGTCCGTTTTCCGTTAGGATAAACAAGGAGGCGCTGCCTCTTTTTCTAACCCCCCCCCCAGCCGCCGCCAAGTGGTTTCTCCCGATTCCTGCGGGCGGGCCGATTCCAGGAAGCCGGGGCGGGGGTGAGGCGCCTCCAGGGAGCGACCGGGAGGAGGTGTAGCCACCCCTCCGGAGGCGAGCGTGGCACGGCCCACAGCGGCGGCCGGAGCCGATAGGGCGAGACCAAGGGGGCGCCGCGGGGGGGAGGCGAGCGGAAAAGCCGGGGACAGCAGCGACGGGAGAAGCGCTAAGATGGCGTCGGCCGGGCCCGAGTCCGGGGGAAGCAGCAGCAGCAGCAGCGGAGCCGCCACGGGTAAGGGGTCCCTGGGATAGACCCCGGGGGAGCACAGCCAGACCCTTCCTTAAATGGGGGGTGGGGTGGAGGGAGAGCCCTCATTGAGTCTGCGGGAGGACCGGAAGAAGGGGGAGGGCAGCCCTGAAATGGGGAGGGGGCGTTGGGGAGTGGGAGGGAGGGCAGTTGCTGACGTGACCCGGGGGGAGGGCTGAGGAGCCTCCTCCCTCTTTTGGGGACCAATTGGGGCAGGGGCATCGGGGGGGGGGGGGGGGGGGGGGGGGGGGGGGGCAGGGAAGCAGAGACAAGAGGGAGCTTTGGCCGTCGAGACCCTCAATGGGAGCCGGAGGGTCAGGTTGCCCCATTAGGGGAGGGGGCTTCCCGAGAGTGCCAGTTGAAGGGAGGGGCGGATCCTCTTTCTGCAGGGCAGCTGTTGCCATGGCGATGTGGGGGGGCTGCCCTCCCTGCCTCTCTTCGCCCACCTTCCGGATGGGCTGGCAGGACCCCACCCAGCCCTGGGCACTCATGGACTCCCCACCTAAGACACCCCCCCCGAGGCGAGGGGGCCGGGGTGCCCCCCACAAGCTTGTCCTGAGTCACGAGGTGTGTGTGTGTGTGTGTGGAGGGGAAGGTTTGGGGGGGCTCTAGCTGGCCTCCCCCCCCCCCAATATTGTCCCCAGTGTCTCTGTGGCTCAAGCTGCATTTCTCTCTTCTTGCAAAAATCTGCTGGCTCATTTTGAGCCTTAAAAGTTGGGCCCGTCTTGATCGATACCAGTAATGCATCTTCGAGCTTTTTTTCCAGCTAAATTCGACTGCTGAAATAAAGCCAAAATTCCTCAGAATTCATCCCCAGCTAGAGACCTGATAAGAAAGCAGATGTTAGGCTGGCTTTTCCTGACTCAGCAGGCGAGCCTTTTTATAAAAAGAATAAATGCATTAGTTGGAGAGGCGTTTTTGTTGGTGGAACGGGTGCCCGGATTCTCACATGTCTCAAACAATAAAATCCTGAGCGTGCCATGAAAAATCAGAAATGCTGTGATGCCTTTGCCGGACAAATATCTTTATTGATTTTTTTTTCCTGCATGGTGGGTATAGGTTGCTATTTACACTGTCACCTGTAACGCCAGGTGGCTTCCTTTCCAGGGGACTGAACATGAATAGAAAAGCAATTCGTTTCTGAAGATCATGGCCATTGAAAGACCCCCTTTCTTTTTCGGCAGATACCCTGCTAGCCGGCCCCCTCCTCCCTTTATCGTTGCTCTCCTTGAGGGAAGCCAAAATCTTCACTTGGGAAATAAGCTATTTTAGGCATTGCCTTTTAAAAATAGGCATTGATTCTTCCCGCAGCAGTTCTGCTCTTTGGAAGGGTGGCTTAAGCTTAGCTCTGAATCCAGCCACACCTTTTTTTTCCTCCCCATCCGAGGTGCCATTTTAATTTTTGGCCGCCGAGCGTTGCAACCTTGTGGGATCCAAATGTCTATAAAACTCCTGTTGGTGGCTTTGGATGGACCCAGAGCCGCCGTCCTTGTGGCTTAAAAAGGACCTTTCCTGGAAACCTTTGCCTGGAAGCGTTTCGATTCTGAACTGTGCGGTCCGAAACTCACCAGGATATGCGCTACACCCCCCCTTGCAACCTTTCCTGGTTGCCTCTGCTCTGAAGCCCTTGGATGCTTTCCTTGCCTTTTCCGGTTAACGTGACTTCTCCCTTCCTTGCAAGCTGCCTGTTCCTTCTTTAACCAGCGGGACAAACAAGGCACCGTTTCTTTCTTTTCTTTCGTTTTTGGAGTCTCGAGTGGCTTGGATGTAGCTCCAGCATCCGTGGAGCTGGTCCCTCCGAATATTCCTTTCACAATCTCCGTGAGGAAATTCAGCCTCGGTTTAGGGGAGGAAGGAAGGAAGGAGGCTGCTCCTCATCCGAGGGAGATTTGGCTGAGCAAAGGGCTCACTCGGGGGCAGTTAGCAGTTCTCCTTTCTCTTTTAAAGGCGACTCGTTTCCCCCATTCTTGGGCCCAAGGCGGCAGTGTGTCTGAAGCAAGACCCATGTTCCTTTCCAGGCCTTGTACCAAGTGGGGGGAGGGAGGGGGGGCATTGAGACCCTGCCATTCAGGGGGAGGAGGTGTCCTGTTGAAGTGTTGGAACAGGTCTCCTCCCAAACAGGGAAGCTGAGCGAAGCAGAGGTCAAAAGTGGCAAAGCTGACTTTGCAAATATATGTATCTATCTTTCTCTCCCAGCGTGGGAAAGCTGCTTCTCTGGGTGCGTGTTCTTCAGAAGCGTCCAGCCTTCCCTTTTCAGATTTCAGGGGAAGCCGCTTGAACGTGGGGGGAGGAGGAGGAGGAGGAGGAGGCCAGTTCCGACCAGAGTTTCCCTTCCTGGAAATCGAAGTGGCTGTTCAGGATCCTCGACCCCCAGGGATGCGTTTGAATTAGGAGCAGCCGTTAAGAGGTGGCTTTCCAAACTGGCGAAGGTGGTCTTTGCATTATGCCGGCCTGCGGCCCGTAATGAAGACTGTGGGGTCCTTGGTGCCTGCTGGGCTTTGTTCTTGCAGACGTTTCGTGACCCAGCTAGGTAACGTCATCAGGGCTAGTGGGATTGGCTGCAAATGCTCCTGGCACTGAGGCTGTTACCTAGTTGGGTCGTGAGGCGTCTGCAAGAAAGCCGCCAAGCTGGGAGAGCTCCGGGGAGTCCTGGGCTCTTCCTCCTTGTGGAGTGTTGCCCTGGGGAGATGCAGAAGGAAGCGGGGCAGAGGTGTGTGGGAGGGGCTGGGGTTTCCTACTTGCGGGGGAAGCCACAAGTGACACCCCCACCACCCACCCACCCCCGCGGTGGCTTTCATGAACCGACTTCCTTCCCTTCCTCTCTAGCTGAGCTTCTTCGCGATCCGGACTGTCAGCTGAGCAAACAAAGGCTCCTTCCTTCCGGAAAATTTCTATTGCTTCCCCTTTTCTCTCTCTCTCTCTCTCTCTCCTCTCTGCCAGCCTTTAGCTTCCTCTGCTGCTCCGTGGTGCCCTCTCGAAGACGTAGATGTATGGGTAAAACCGTGGCCTGAGCATGACCTCCTGCTAATCCGCCTGGCCCGTCATTGCCTGCCGTGGTGGTGTGGAAGTGAGCGGGTGATGCCCTGGCATTTTTGACCTGAAGCAGCTGCTTGGCTCGCTTCCTCCTCCCTCCCGGTCTTAAAGAGCCCCTGGCCTCGCACTCGGGCCCCTTCCGGGCTAACTCCCTGGCAGGGCCTGGGGGCTGATCTCAGAAATGCTCCCTGGGGGGGACACCCCCCCCCTCTCCATTTTAGAGAGGCTTCAAGGCCAAGTCTTCTTCAGAGCATTGAGACAGTGGACTCTCTCTTCCCCAGGGTTTAGCCTCGCTGGCCTCTTCCCGGCGCAAGCTTGCTAGAGTTGTGGAATCAACCGCGATAGAAACACGTGCAACTAACCTGGGTTCTCCCCCCCCCTTGTGTGCAAATGGGCTAATCCAGCGGCGGTTGAGCCGCCTCTTGCCACAGAGGCGGTGCTGGCAACGCCGCCGTCCTCTCCATGAGAGCTTTGGCAAGTTCAGCGCATGGTTTGGCCGAGCTTTGCCTGCTTTGCAGCGCATCTTCCTCTGGGCCTGGCCAGGGTTTCTCCTGGTTCTTCTACGGGTCAAACTGAACTGGCAGAGAAGAACTCGTCTCTGCAGGGCGTTTGGAGATTGGAGGGTATCAGAGCACAGCCAGGTCTCGTGAGGATGCCCCGCAGCTCCGTCCTTTCGTGTGGGACCCTGACTCTCAGTCTGGGGTTCACGGCCGAGGGGCCCTTGAGGTCGTCAAGCCTACCTGCCCAGGGCGGACCCCAGTCTCGGGGGGCGCTCCCTGTCTTGCAAGCAGGCGGCAACCACAGGAGAATTGCACACCCAACCATAAGTGTTTGTTCCAAACAGCTACACCGGCAGCTTTGCCAGATCCTGCACCTTCTCAGTGGGCCCAGGGAAGGCTGGCTCTCCCTTCCCCCTCAACTCTCCCCCCTCCCCCGCCCGTCCCCTCCAAGGGGCCCGTCTTGATCGCCTCGTTGAGCCAAGATTTGGCCCGCAGCCTCAGAGAGCCTGTGGTTTGGAGGGCTGATGCGATGACGCTGCCTGCACCTTTCTGGCATCCTTGTCTCCTCACAGCGCTGCCAAAGCAGCCCTGGCCCACTAGAGGGCGCTATTCCCCTGCCCTCCTCTGCCAAAGCCGCCGCCCCCCCCCCCCCCCGAACGGTCTCCCAGAATTCCACAAGTCTTAAAGCGGCCAAGTTTCCTGGCTGGGGAATTGTGGGAGTTGAAGTCCACAAAGTGTCCAAGGTTGGAGACCCTTGGAGTGGCTGCTTTCAGGGCCTGGGCCCACCCGGGTGGGGGGGTGTCCCCAGACCCAGAGCAGAAGGGGGCCAATCCTGGGCCAAGGGCAAAGCTTGGGGGGGGCTGGCGTTTCTCTGGCCAAAGGCAACCGGGGTGGCTAGCAGTGGAGAGCCGGCCGCTGCCTGCAGGCCTTCCTGGGGGGGCAAAGGGGAGAGCCGTTCGGGGGAGATGGCGGGAAGCAGGAGTTTCCCGAGGCTGCCCCCCACCCCACCCCTTGACCCAGGCGCTGAGCCCTTGGCCTCTGGGTGACTCAGCCCCCCCAAATGACGCCTGTGGCTCCCTCGGCAGGAAAGTGTGTGGGGTTTGCAGAGTCGCTCTGCGGTGGTGCCTGTATGTGTCAGGCCATGAGCCAGGAAGAGCTGCTCGGTGCAGGGGGCAGAGGTGGAGGGGCAGCTCTGAGGGGAGGTTTCTCCCCCCCCCTCGCCAGTCATCCCTGCAAGGACATTGGCCGGGCTCCGTTTGATCTCTGCCCTCCCCTCCCCTGCCAGGGGTCTCACCCCCTCCCGTTTTCCCTTCCAGGGGCGCCCTCGTCAGCGACCTTCAAAAAGTCCTGGGAGGTGAGTGAGTTGCCATTCCGGTTTTCTTTCCCCTTTTTTTAAAAAAGCAACCCCCCCCCCAGGGCTCTCGTGGCCTGCCCCTCCTCCCCGGCCTGGGATGGCAAGGGAGCCACTGCAAGCGCCCGACTTTGCCCCCTGTGGAAAAAGTGGAGGAAAACATCCGGAGAGGTTGCAGAAGAAGACCCCCTTGGAGGTCGCTTCCAAGCACGGGGGTGGGGGGTGGGTGGGCTGTGGCCTTGTCCCAGGCACACTGAAGCTGGGGGGGGGCTGGTGCTGCCCCTGAGTGGGGATTTCGGGGGGCCTCGCTTCCCGCTGCCTGTGGGAGGATTGGAACCTTCCTCCTCTCCTGCTCCCAGGTGCCAGGCTCCTCCGGGCACGGCTCCACAGTCAAGAAGGGCCACCGGAGCGTGGATTCCAGCGGAGAAACCACCTACAAGAAGGTAGGCAGGCAGGCAGGCGTGGGGGCCAGGCTGCGGCCTCCATGGGCCTCTCTCCTCCCCTTCCTCCCCGTCCCGCCTCCTCCTCCTCGCATTCCCCAGCCTCTGAGTCACCCCACGCGCTTGGCTTGCGGCATAAAAGGCCCAGGTGTGGCTGCGGAGGCAGGTCCCTACTGGCACATTCGGGCGGAGTAGATCCCAGGGATTGGAAGGCCCCTCGGTCGGTCGCTGCCGCCGCTCAGGATCTCACGGCTTCTTCTTTCGACCTCTTGGAGAGTTTCGTTCTGGTGCTTTGGACCACCGACAGCCGAGCGATCTGGGATTCCCGCAAAGGGGCTCTTTCCCGCCCACCCCCAAAATGCAGGCGTGCTCTCTGGCGCATCCGTAGCTTCCTCCTCCCCCCCTTCCTCTCCTTATCCTCCGTGTGGGGGAATCTCCGGCACTTCCTGGGTCCCAGGGGGCTTGGATCCGGGCCGGCATGTTCCAGCGGACTCTGAGATGGACACTAGCCGGGATGGGTCCTTTCGGAAGCCGCCTCTCTCCGTAAGTGGCCCCCTTATCTCTGCCCAGAGATATGCCTGGGATTGGGGAGGCAATGGCTGCTTGGGGATCCCAAGGACGGTTTGGGGGGGTGGGGGGATGCCCAGAGGAGTTTGAAGGAGCCCTTTTCTCCCCTGTTTTGTTCCTGCGTTCAGCAGAACCAAGCAACACTTGGTGGAACTCCGAAAGTTTACACTAGAATCCTTCCCTCTTCCCTCCTTCCTTCCTCCCTTCCCTTCCCTTCCTTCCCTTCCCTTCCCTTCCTTCCTTCCTTCCTTCCCCACCAATTGTGCTTGCCTCCTGTTGTGTTTTCAGCCTTTTGTGGCCTCCTCCTCCTCCTCCCTTGCCCAGAGTGGGGTTGGCCTCTAGTGCCTCCATCCCTTCTGCCCACGCACCTGAAGGGTGTCCCTGACACAGGGGAAGGGCCCTCTTTCTCCTGGGCTTCCTCGTCCCTTCGGGGGGGGGTGGCTGTTGGGCCCCTGAATCCCTGAGATCGGGGGGGGGGGGGGTGGATGGTGAGGGAGCCCAACCCAAGTAGAAGAAGCCAGACGGAGAGCTGCCCAGAGAAGCTGCTCTGCTCCTCCCGGGGAAACGAGCGGAAGGCTCCACCGTTCAGGGCTTGGGAGGTGGGCTACCCCCCCCTCCCAGATCCAGTGGGAGATCCCAGTTTGGGGTTGCCAGGCGGGGAAACAGGAAGCGAAAGCAGCCGGGGGATTTCCAGGCAGCAGAGAAGGCCTTTGACGTCAGCAGCCCTGAGATTGACGGAAAGGCTCCGGCAGGGGAAGCCCCGGCGGTTCTCCAGGCTTAAGACTGGAGACACCCCAGGCAGACCAGTTGCTCTCCCTCCTCCTCCGCTCAGCCCCAAACACCTGGCTTGGCAGTGAAAAGGACCCTCCTGCCCACTTGGGCCAAAGGACCGAAGCGGCAGGTGGTTGTGTTCAGGCTCAGGGGGGTCCCAGGCGGAGGGCAGGTTTGCTGCCTTTCACGGAAAGGTCGGTGGAGCCTCCCTGGGCAGGTGCAGTCTTCGGTGGCAGCCCTGCCCTGCCTGCGAACTCCCCAAAGGTGTTTCTCTGGCTATGGGGAGTCTGGGCTGGGTGGGATTGGAGGGTGCAGCCCCCGCCCCATCGCTCCAAGGGACGCCAGGCTGCGCAACCCCAGGTGGCTTTCCAAGGAGGAAGCGACTCACAGTTACGTTCAAAGGCTGGTTGGGTCAGCAGGAACGGCCTGAACTCCACTCGGCTCAGCAAAGCCCAAGCCAGCCGGGATGCGTTTGGGGTGCTTGCAAAAGGACGTGTTCCCCCCCCTTTTTTTCTTTTCTGTTTTGGGGGGCCAGAAAATCAGCTCTCTCCCCCCCCC